CATAGTAATTTTAATAGTTAAGATCATGAGTTAATTGAAGCTAGACCACCATGGAAAACATGGAAGCAGTGGATGGCCGTTACATCCTATTGTGGGACTCCTCAAGTGTTTGGTGCTTAATATTCATTCTAAAAATTGATCGTGAAATCAATATGATTTTATTATATAACTGTTAAAAACTATCCATCTCATGATCGAAATCAAAAGCAAACCAATCTTATTATTTCAAAGAGTTTGTGTTTTTGCACGTTCTATATTTAAAAGTGAAACTATTCACTCTTTGTTCTTATCTAAGATTCTTATGCAAATACATTGATATAATGCATGTTGTTCCAGGGTTTAAATTTTTAATATCTGTTCGCTGTGAAGTCGAGGACCTGAATTTTGTTCTATTTAACACTAGTAAAGTGTTTTCTTATAACTGAAAATGATATAGTATCACCCATAGTGTTACATTTACATAGGACTGACATGAAATATGATATTATTCTAAAGGGTTTTCGTTGTTTCATTATTGATATTTAAGACCTGATCGTGTTTTTGGCTCTCAAAGCTCAGTAAACTAGGAGATAATGTGTAATATGCAATAATAAAACGTAAATAGCAAACTGAAAAACAAGTGCATTTAATTGATGAATCTTGAAGAAATGTAAAACGTATACTTTTGATTCCATTGTCAGAGAACATTCTAAAATATAATAAAACATAAACTAGCTTTCATCATTAAAGCTAACAATATTTATCTCGGCTTATTGAGCTTCTGTATGTATTTAAGTTGTCCACTGTTTTTATCCTATTATCATATAAAATATGACCCTATTTATCATTAACTAATTGATCTGTAATAATACTAAAATTTCTCATTGCATTTTTTAATACGTCAACTATAATGAAACAAAAAAGAAAAGACGACGAATGAAAATCATGATAACAATAATAATAATAACGAACGAACAACAACAACAAATACAATTCAATAAAAAAGAAACGTAATTCTCCTAGTTGATAAGAAACATCCTTATGAAAGATAAGCAGACAAGTCGATTGACCTTATACTATTTAATTCATGAAGTAGAACTTATCTTTAAAAAAAGAAACTAGGTTAAGAAAAATAATGTATACTTCTTTTCACACTCTATTTAAATCATTTTATCATTATTTTGAAGGATTCATTAAAAAAAATTGGATGTACTTTAAATAAACTTTAACTGCTTGAAAAAGAGTTCAACACCTAATTTAATAGAGATAAAATGGTAGCACGAATACAAATAGTGAGAAAAGGGAGGAAGGAGGAGAGAAAATAAAAGAGTATAAGAATAAGTAAGTAAATAAATTATAAACGTGTTGATATAAATAAATAAAAATAAAGGTATTTGTAGCGAATCAATTGGTTTTTACATAATTATTTTTTAATTACAGATTAATACCAGTTAAAGAACCAATGAAAAACAAATAGAATTGAATAGTTGAGCTGTGTCTTTACTAAAAAAGATGTATATTATCCCGTTGTGAACATTAACCCTAAAGTACAAGTATATTTACTTAAAGAGTTCAAAGTGGGACGAAATGTGCGTTCCGAACTCTATTCATGGTTAAATCTCATCTATTCTATTTTATTTATGGCTTTATTTGATGCTTTGCAGTATATAGTTGTTGTTTTGTGCTATGAATTAAGTGGCAACAGAAACATTAACATAACTGCGTTTCATCTTAATTGTCTAAATGTAGCAAGTTCAATTAGAGACATGTGAATCTGAGGATTGAATTCTGGGAAGGTCATAACCATGTTACCGAGGTGTTTCAATCAAACAGTTGTTCAAAACTCCTAGATTCTCAGTGATTATTCAAGTGGTGATAAGTACTCTCTTCAAATAAAAATCAACTTATAGTTGGTATCACGAAATGATCTTAGTTAGGAATCTGGAAAGCACTGGATAGCTTTTTCACCCTAGCAAGAGACTGCTCAGAAGTGCAAATTTGCAATGTAATAAAATCCGAAACTGAAGACTTTCAAGCTGAATCTTTAGACTACTAAACTGTAATCAAATTTTATGCATGTCTAACTTCATTCAGTTCATGATAGTGCTTACTTGCCTCATTCTTCTTAGTCAATAATGTTTGTTTAATTACAGTCAGTTCCTGATGTAAACTATAAAATTCTACAATCTCTACAAACCTTATATATTTTGAAAATTAACTTGGATACTTGTTGATGCATTTAGTTCTTGATAAATAATAAAATTTTCAGTTTCTAATTTTCATCATCCTTAGCTAACAAATATATAGATAGGTAAACTTAAAGTAAATAAGAAGAATGAGAAAAAGGAATATCAGTATAAATTTTATGAAAATCAGTATTTATTTATTTCTATGATTCTACCTAATGGAAAATTCATCATCATCATCATCATTATCATTATCATCATCATTAATGCTATATCCATATTTCTAAATATCTTCTTGTCTTAATAACTAACATATTTTATTATTATTGAAATAAATAATTAAAGTACTTTTGATTCCTTTAGGATTCATTAACCTTTCGTAGTCATTATATAACATATTACATATATGAGTTTGTCCAGATTGCCAAGAAAGAAAATAAAAGTGGTGAATTAATATTAACTACAGTCTTTTTTTTCTTAATGAAAAACCTGGAACAATCAAATGTTAACAGATAATCAATTCAAAATTTATAGAAAAATATAAATGGATCATTGTAATCGATTCTATACTATAATATTCATTTTTATTTAAGTATAAGAATATAAATCATTAGAAAAGGAGAAAAAAAGTAACTGAATGAACTATAGAGGTATATTTGAGATATAGTTACATAATTTATTGATTAATTTTAATAAAACTTACAAATATACCTTTCAAAATTGACTATCAGTATTTTTTTTTTGAAATTTATATTTAATTACCATACATTAATAGTTCTATAGTTTAAAGATATTTTAATAATATTAATCATTAAGTAGATCAAGTTTTAGATATTTGGTGAAACTAAAAATATCTTTCGAATTCAAATAGTCTTTCAGAGTTAAATGTAACTTAAATAGTTCAATATCAAATATTCAGTTAAATCAATTTTCTAAAATAAAGTTATCTGTACAAACCTAAAGTATCCACTAAATTTAATGATTATTGATTTATAATCGGTAATTATGTGGTGTTAGTTAGTTATATTCACATAAGTAGTATATAACGGTGGTCAGGCATAGAATGTATTTCAGTAGAAGGTCAATGAGGAAAGAACAGGAATGGAACGCAATTGGTATGAAAATTCATGAACAATGAAATGTAAGATAATGGATTGGTATTTGCAACAGAAACAGTGAAGTTTAAGACGATGGATTGATATTTTGTAAATTAACGATTTACTATATGGTTTTCAAATTTTGTTGAGATGCTCTGTAATTTCGTGTCAAATACATTCGATTGTCCCCACTTCGGTTCTTATTCACTACAATTATTTAGGTATCATTTTGAATTCTATGGATTTTTCTTATCAGATCACAATAGAATTAGTAATGATCAAATAAGAATACTATATTGATATGGTTATTGATTTGTTATCCCTAATTCATAGTACTTTAAAAAAAAGTTTGTATGATATGCACCTTGCTTCTAGTTTGATTGATGATCTCCAATATTTGCAATTTTTAAAGACAGTAAGAATGAAGATTGATGCAGAATAATATGAATTCATTATATTTCGTTAGGTTCTCATCAGCTGCCTACAAGCATATATATCTTATACACATAGTTCCCTTTATTATCTTAAAGAGAGCAAGAACAAAGATTTGCGCAGAATAATATGAATTCATTATATTTCAAGGTTATTACAGATATTGACATACTTATACATACGAGGGTGATTAAAGATGAATATATATGTATCATGATGTAGCGAAGATTCCAGTAGAGTTAATAAGGTTATAAAAAGTTTGTTTCGGATAAATAAAGTTATAACCGTTTTAGCTTTATCGGAATCTTCACTACATCATGGTATACACATATTCATCTTTTATCACCTTCGTATTTATAAGTATATCATTATCTGTATTAACTTTGATTTTAAAATATTTTAGATTGTAAGCAGTTAATGAGAGCCTAACAAAATAAAATGAATTTATATTATTCTATACTAATCTTTGTTCTTGCTCTCTTTAAGACAACAGAGGGAACTATGTGCATGAAACATATATGGTTGTAAGCAGTTGATGAGAAACCACGAAATATAATGAATTCATATTATTCTGCACTAATCTTCGTTTTTGTTCTCATTAATATAATAAAAGAAATTATATGCGTACAGACTATCTATCTTGACAGAACTATCATTAACTATAAATCATTTTGTCTACTGATAATCTCCTTCTGTTGTAGAAACCAGTTTGATGAAAACCCTAATATATATATATATATATATATATATATATATAGCCATTCTTCTGTACAGCATTTAATATATATAGATTAATTTGCATTTTTACAATTAATTGTAAATATAAATCCCCATATTTAAACGCTCCTTTCTTTCTTTTTTTCCTTTCTTTTCTTTTTTAAAAAAAATTTCCATCGGCTATGTTAGATGTGGGTGTGATTAGTTTTAATTGTTTCTATATTTATAATTAAATTCATAGATTAGTTGAAAATAGAAAAAAATAATTTTTTTCTTTAAATCTCATTCTATTTGATATGAAAGTATTTTTGAATCTTTCTAATGTTAATATAATAGATTACAGTTAATGTAGCTGTTTAGTTAGTTTTGTATGGTAAATGAATGTAAATGAATGTTTTGATCATTAAAATTCTGTTTACTTATTTGTTGATTATAGATTTCAAGAATAAAATAAAATTGACCACTGTAATTGTAACTATGGAAGAATGATTTAAAATTGATAAGCTTTTAATGCCTTATTCTAAATTAGTAATAATTATCACTTATTATTTTTAATATTATCATTTTGGTTTTTATTATTTATAATCAGAGAGGGGTTTTTGTGGATATTATAGTAATTTAAATGGTTGAGATCATGAGTCAGTTGAAGCTAGAACACCATGGAAAATCTGGAAGCACTGGAAGGCCGTTTCGTCGTATTGTGGGACTCCTCAGCTGTGCGCATCTGATGTATTTGCCAAGTCATTTATGGATTTAATAACCAATAAATGAAATCGTTTAATTGTATGTGATCTGTGTATTTTCTTAACAAGTGAATATTTTTTATAATAATGAATGATTTGACAATTGGCGACTTTAAAAATAAGCATACTGTGAAAAAGATTACAATTTAATTACAATATTTAAATTGAGCAAAACATTCATAAACCTTCAATGTTAAAAAAATATGAATAAATATCAGAAGGGTGTTTTGTGGAGATTTTTAGTAATTTTCATAGTTGAATTAACGAGTTAATTGCAGTTAAATCACTATAGAAAACCTGGAAGCATTTGACGGTTGTTTCGTCTTGGTATTTCCTGAAGTTCTAGTGAAAAGCCATGACTAGTAGAGTCCAAACAGGTCTGTTGTAAGATAGTAACTAACTAAAAACAATAGTGGACAGTGATACAATTTTGTGGATCGGTTGAAGTTAAACATTAACACCGTTGGATGTTGGCCGACTCCGTGGTCTAGAGTTTAAGCGTTCGATCAAGAGATCGACAGGTCCTGGGTTTGAATCTCAAGAGGCGGGATCGTGAATACGCGCTGATGAGGAGTTCCACAATAGGATGAAATGGCTTTCGAATTCCACATGTTGGTCTGGTTTCAATTGAATCATGATCTCAACTATTAAAATATCGTACAACAGTTGTAATATGTTAAGTGTTGCATTAAAAAAATTAACTTATGTTAAAACTTGATAATTAGAAGTTGTGTTATGAATAAACATAGATTTCTGTCAAAATATTTTTTCTTATCCATTCTCTTAAATAAATGTCTGTCGATAGTTTCGATTTAACTATTTGGGAAAAATGACACGCAATTAAAGTAGCAGACATTCTTTGCGATTTTTCCTGAGCAGAGAAATAATAACTTCTGCCAACAACAACAACGACAAAAAAACGCTATTCAATTTAAAAGAACTTTTGAAAATCGAAAATTTTAATTTCTCTCTAATATTAGACTCTTGAGAATTTTGAAAATTTAACCGGATGAGTTAAGTTGTTGCAGTTTTGCATAAATTATTAAACTATATGTCTCTGATCTTGAGAAATTGACCTTTGCTTTACCAAAGATTTATAAACATTTATATATATATGTATGCCTAAAAACGTATTCTTAGGCTAATCGACATGATATCTAGATGTTATTTTGCAAGGGATTCATTGATTGATGAAATCTTCAGGGAGATATGTATGATAGGAGGATAGTAACAAAACTCATATCATTAAAATATATTTGGTTGTTAAAGGTTCAGTTATCGTTCATTCGATAAACAATTTGTAAAGAAAAACAGTTTAGTGAAACGTTTAGTAAATCATGGGATATTTTTAAATTCAATTATTTTAAAGTAGTTGAATACATTGTGTAAAATGAATTTTCATCTAAGTTTCAAAATTGAGTTCACTACCATCTATAATTATAGAATGAAATACGGAAAGAATCAAATAAGTGAATATATGATTTGATATGCATCTACAAAAGATTGTAGATTTTGGATGAAAAAAGGCACGATAATTTTGCTCAACAATAACAGAAAGTAACGTTTATTTATATGGAAATTTATCTGAATTAAAAAGCCTTGTTCAAACACTAAGGTTTAGTGGTGGTTGCTAGGATTGGAATTCAAAGCAGTAATTTTTTCTAGCAATTGGGGACTGTTTATTTAAAATCAACTGCTTCACTGTATTGATACGCATTTCGAAACTCTGAGCTAATATGTGTCGTTTAAAATGTGAAAAACAGCAACTTATTCAATCGACATGATATTTATAGTGCTTTGTAACTGATCATGTTTTCTGATGTCAATATGCACAAATTAGGTTGGCTGGAAATGTATATAAGCAAAGATGGATGGTGGATAGCAGTGGGATCCAGGAATCGCGTTTCGTCCTATTTGGGAGTCGTCAGCTGGGTATAAATGTATCTCAGAGTCGATGTTCACTCCAGAACTTGAACTCAGTACCGTTCTCTTCAAATGCCATCGCGCAACTGAGTTCGCATATCCATCTCTTTGTGTGATAGGGTGAAGTTTAAATTCAATTAGTGTTGTTTGCTTGTATCTTAAATTATAATTCTCGTGACCGAAGGCAATATCGAGGCAATCCGCACAGTATGCACTCATGTTAACAAGAAACTGATCAATTGCAGTCCTAAAGAAAAATGGGAAAATACAAACAAACAACATCAAGTGAATGCATACCATTTAGTTTTAAAAATGTAAATGGATGTCAGATGTTTTCTGTTCTAGTCAAATAAAACATTATAGCCATTAATTATTTTAAATTAATGAAATAGTTTACGGTTTATTGTAGATATTTAGTTCATCAGTTTATGAATTGATTAATTAACAAACATAATTGAGTTTTATGGAAAAGTGGGATAAAATTATACGTTTATATTACACATTTACATCTTAGAATTATTTTATTGCCTTAAAAATACGGCTTTAAATGTGAGAATTTCATAACATAACGCATTTAGAGATTAAAATAAAGTGCAATAAGATCATTTTAGTTAGTCAAATAACCCATGAATCCTAAATGACAAATGAATACATTCAAATAGAAAATAACATTTCAGAATAGTTATCTATGAACAGACTTTCGGACTGATACATTGAAGTGTTACTTTTATCTTTGAGTTTAGTAATTATTATGTACTTTTGTTAAGATAGAAAAGAGTATTAAGGGATCATTAGATTTTTAATGATCGTTACATTATTGTAAACAATATAAAAAATAAGTTATATGGATCGATAGTAAATAATGCATGAAAAGCTAAATGTCGTAAGCTTTTCACATTAACCATAATTGAAGGTAACCCAATTCTACTGGATTTGATTTGATCATTATACTAAATGTAAATATATACTACAGTTTAAATTTCCTACCAACTATTGCGAAACAATGAACATATAGCAAAAATTAATAAAAGGATAAGGTTAACGATTGTCTACTTCCTCACTTTATATTTTTCAAAGCTTTGTACTGTTTATACCTATTGGGTATACATTTATGTTGAATTCAATAAATCCTATTCATTTCGTACATAAATGTAGTTTATTAAGTTACTACATGGAATGCCTAAATTTTAGGTATATATATATATATTTACGTTGAATCATGAAAGTTTATTACATACCAAATGATATACGATCATCAACTTACTCTTGTATCCTAGTTACCGAGATAAATATAAAAGTAAAAAACAAAAATAATTTCAGATTTTCTGATTCATTTATTAATATCATGGAGCTAGATTTTTTTCTTTCTTTTTTTCTTTTTGATGTTTTGTTCTATCACTGTTGACCCATTTTTTTGTCAAGTTATTTCGTTTTTTCTGTTTGGTTTGCATTAAACATAATAAAATAAATTTTGTGTAATGATCACTTAGTTACGCCTAAAATGTCATTTGTTCAATAGAAGAAGAAAAAAACTCATAAAAATTTAATTTTTAATCAAACTATCATATAGTTAACAAGATGTTTGTCAAATCAAGGAAATTATCTGTGAAATGAGAAAGTTATATTTATTTCATTAATTTTATGGGTGTAACAATAAAAAAAGAGAAGCGAGACATTTTTAATTACAGTGAAAACAAGATAATTATCTTAAAACAACCGAAAAAATTTTTTTTAATTTTCATTTATTCAATGATTAAGACTAGAGATTTAAATTTCATCAGTATAGGGTTGTAGAGATTATTAGGTTTTCGATTGAGATCATGAATCGAATGATATTAGATCACCATTAAAAAACTGAAAGTACTGGATGACCTTTTCGTTCTATTGTGGGACATTTTAGCAGTGCGCATCCATGATCTTGCATATAGGATTCATGATCTCAATCAAAAAACCTAATAATCTTCAAAATCTCATACCGATAGTTACTAGGTGCTGGCTAGTGACTGGCATTGTGAGGGAGTTCTCGGAGTTATAGTGGGAAGCCGTCATCAGTAGAGTTAATCCATGTCAGGTAGAGACAGGTATCTACGTCTGTACAATGAAAGATGGTCGTGCAATTTCGTGGATTGGTTGAGGTTAGGCGTTAACATCATTGGATACCGGCTCAATGGTCTAGAGGTTAAGCGTTCGCGCTCAAGACCGAAGGCTCTGGGTTGAAATCCCGCTAGCGGGATCGTGGATCCATAAGTCTATTAAAACTAATCTTACCTTGACGGTTTCAGTTTATTTATTATGACAATAATTGATTTTCTTAAAGTGTAATAGGAAATTTAATTAGCATAAAGCTAATGTTTGCTAGTGGAAATAACGTCGTTGATAAATGAAAACCGACTGCTAGATTTTTGAATAACTGTTTAAATCGTTCATTATTGATATTCACTAATCAGCCGGGCTTTCTAAACAATTATTCAAAGTAACTACTGACTAATACTAATATTGTCATAACTAAATATTTGGCAAGGGATAGTATGACTACGAGACTTGCCCGTTGCCTAACGCTAGGTTTACGGCAACAAATGTTTGATAATAGTTCAGTAAAGCACTATATTTTGGTGTTTCTGATACTAGAAAGCGACTGTATTTTAAAATATTGACTGAATTTGTATGTTGTACGAATATTCGTTTAATGATAATACTTTTTACAGTGACACTGTATTATAAAGATTCTAATCTAAAAAATAGATTAAATTACGATAGAACTGCGGATATTCATCATAAATAACTGGCATAAAACATAAAGTCTACACCAATGACTTCATTTTGAATAACTTTCAATAGATAACTCTCATGTATACATGAACATATTTATAATATACTGTTTGATATTATATACTTGAAATTTGAAACATCTATCTCTTAAAGATCACACGACACAGTTACTATTTGTCTGAATAAAAAAACAAAACAAGAAACCAGATGTTTATTAGAAATAATTAAAATAATACAAATTATCCATTAGAAACAAGTTTTATTTTTTTATAGGTAAAATCAATATTTACTAAATGTGGGCTAGACGAAGTAGGAAAAAAAACAACAAACAAACGAACAAAACAACAA